ACTGCATATGGTCTTATGGTACAAGGGGTGTATATTCACCAACTCATTGCTATGGCTCCCCTCTTTTATGTCAGCTCAGGTATTTGCAAATAATTGTGCAATAAAAACCTCCTGCTGTGAAACAAAGGGGGTGTGTGGCCCCCGCTTTACTAAGCTTCACTAGATTTTCTGATGATACAGAAACTGGGACTGCTGGAATGAATTAAAGTTTGTATTCATTCCGAGCACTGCTCAAGATGTGCGTGGTCCAGTGTTTGCATTTCATGTCAGTTTTTATACTATTAACTAGTGAGGAAAACAGCACAAAACTTGGCTCTGGAAACTAGCACAGGTTTGACTTCAGTTAAAACCTTACTAGAGGGCAGGTGTTATTTCAACACTGTCATAGCTAGAATCAAATATCAAGGTATTCTCAGATGCTTCTTTTCACCTTGGGATTGAATCTACTGCCAGGCAGGACTTGGTCTCACTTTAGTGTGTTATGCCCTTTTCCCTGCCACGCAGAAGGCTGCAGGTACACACACACGGTGTTAAAAAACACTTCACATTTCAGACAAGAGCTGGGGATGTTGCCATAAATTCAAATTGCATTAGAAATGGCAGCTTCATATTCATGCGATGTAGGACAATGACAATGACCTACTACAGATCCTTCACCGTTCACAGAATAGTTTGGGTTGGAAAGGACCTTAAGATCATTTATTTCCAACCCTCTGCACGGGCAGGGATGCCTCCCACTAGATCATGTCACCCAAGGCTCTGTCCAACCTGGCCTTGAACACTGCCAGGGATGGAGCATTACCACTTCTTTGAGCAACCTGTTCCATGCAAAGTCTGTTGTGCCTCATCATCTGATCAGGGGAGTTGGATGAGTGATACACAGATGGGTATTATGATTTAGCTCATCTTTTACAAAACGTAAGCAACCCCCCACAGGGCTCTGTTGGGATGAAGCAGAGCAGACATCAACCTGTAGAGCACCTACAGCCTCAAGGGAGTAGAATGAGAGTAGAGATTCCAGCACCACAACAACTGCTTGTTCCAACTTCACAAGCATCTGTTCATTTTTAACTCAAAGTGTTAGGCTGATGCCAAAGCACCACATTCATTTACTCTTCCTCCAAACTGCTGAAACGGTGACATTCAAGATGAAGTGCTTGAAATGCAAGAATCTGACTTCAATTCAAACACAGTAAACAGGCAAAAAAATAGTGCTGAAGAGCTTTCCTTGACCCCCTGACTGCTACTATAGCTACACTGCAGAAAGCCTGCCAGCAAACCACTTCTAGAATAAGTGTTCTCTGTTCAACTTTGCCCAAAGGTGAAAGTTTCTTTATAAAGCACAGTTCAAATTTATTCACCGTCACAAAGTACACCAAGAACCTGACTCAGCAAGAAACACACAGAATTTGTGGAGCAAAAAAACCCCCAAGACATCAGAGGTGAATCAAACCATGAAGTTTTGGAGAGCCTCCTGTGTTACCTGCATATATCAAAGTCATTGAATAACTACACTTTTAAGTTTTTCCAAACCTTCTGGTATGTTTTTCCCCACAATCCTGTTACATCGCACCAGGAAGAAGTATTTTAAATGAGGGTCAATGAATGCCTCAGTCAACTATTTTTAGGTAAGACTTCTTCTTTATAAAGTACTGTGGAAATCCCACTGTTAACTGAAGCACAGGAACACCAAAATTCAGTGCCTCTGCATGTCCTAAAAGCATTCTACTACATGCAGAAGGCAGATTATGACAGAAAGAAGCTGGAAAAGATATTACATCAAATGATGGTGTACAGCTAAATGGCTCCTCATAGTTCTTTCATTGACTTGTTTTACAGATAGTGGATCTTTTGTCACCATACTTGGAAAATGAAGGCAATTCCCACTCAAATAGGCTGGAACTGCTTGCAGTCCTCAAGTGCGAGTGAGGCATCTAAAAACTCATGCTTGCTTTTTGGTTTATTCTTGCTGTTTTGAGATACTCTGTATTCCAACATGGCCTTCCTGAAAAAGCTACAAAAAATTCTGTATAGGTTTCAGTGCAAGACAAGTGTTGGCTTATCCAAATGATGAACAGGGAGTGCGAGAAGATGCTTGTTCCAAGGGATGTCACTGAAAAATTCATACAGAAAAACAATGTGGAACTGAGTTTCTATAATAAATATTGAGCCATTTCAAAGCTTACAGCTGCAGAATCTGTTAACAAACAGCATCAGGTGTTTGGATATGCTTTAGAGTAGCTGCACGACAGTAAAAATAGCACTTCAAGCAGAAAACCTAACCAAGTTGCAGT